GATCTCTCCCACGCTTTAACGTTTTCATTCTCATTCTTCCCGCGGTCTCCTCCGTGAACACCTCCACAAGTCCACCTGCCACCCACATTCACCTGTCCCTACATTGTAGTTCTGTTGCTCTATACACCAAATAAAATCTATATTTCTCAACCTAAAATCACTAATCCGAACTCACACCAAACCTATACAAGAACTCAAAATTTACCGTATCTCCCATCTCCATCTTCCTTCCTCACGTGGCTCGCACCGTCACGGTCCTCCTTCCTGCCCTCTCTCTCTTTTCGTTTCTCTTCAATCCGACTCCTCTCTCTCTCTCTCTCTCTCTCTCTTTCTCACATTCTCTTCCCGCCCTTGATCTCTTTCTTCTCTGTTTTCTTTTTTTTTCTTCCCTTCCTCTCTCTGTTTTCTTTTTTTTTCTTCCCTTCCTCTCTCTGTTTTTCTTTTTTCTTTTTTTCCTTCTCCTATTTATACCCCACCAGCCTCTCATCCTGCCCGTCCATCTCACCTCATCCCAACTGTCCACTTCTCCCTTCTTCAAACGACGTCGTTTCCTCCTCCTCTTTACCAAAGGACGTCGTTTCCCTCAAACGACGTCGTTTTCCTCCTCTTTCACTCCAAACGACGTCGTTTTCTCCCCCTCTCCACCAAACGACGCCGTTTACCTCTGAAAATCTCACCTTACATATACATCTATACATACATACAAATTTTCTCTTTTTTTTGCAGTTATTACAAAATAAAAGTTTGATTTCAATTATTTTATATGTTAAATTTATTTTTTAATTAAAATATTAGTATAATCTTCTTATGTATTGTGATAACTTTAAACTACCAGTTTTCTTTGGATAAACTGTTTTATTAGTGATTTGCGATATATGTTATAAGTAGATATTACTTCAATAATAATTTATAAAAAGATAATAATAAACATATTTATTTAATGAATTTTTAATTACTAAAAGGAATTCAATAAATAAATAAATAAATAACATGATTATTTGTTATATAGTTGTATTTTTTATAAAAATAAAATAATTATTGACCAACAATAAAAGGATTCAAATAAAAAAATAATACAATAAATTTTTGTATCAAAAAATATATAAAATGTACAATTCAGACTCAACCCCATAATATAAATATAAATAATAATAACATCATTAATTTTCAAATGAGAAAATAGTATAATTAATATATGTTTTTGCATGAAAATACACAGAATGTAGAATATGATTTCAACCCACAAAAAAAACTAGTGTTTTATAATTTAATTCATGTTTTTGAATATAAAAATGGAGGATCCGTGAACGGATTTTGGCTCCGCAATTATTTTAATTTAATGAT